GGAGTGGCTCTTTCTTTTTTAAGCGAACAATTCTGAAACATATATAAATTATGTTCAATAAATGTTGTAGTTCCAAAAATGCACATTAAAATTGGTACTCTTGAGTGAAGGTTCAGTTTTGGACGCTGTGTGCCAATTCAGCACTTGAGAGTCCTGTTTGTCCACAAATCATTGCCATACATACATTTTTGTTTGTGAATATATTTATAGAATATGCACATACAATACCAAAGTGACCCAAGAGAATACTTCGGAGTATGTGATGCTTGTGGTGTAATCATTATGTAATAGATGTGTGTGCGTGTCTGGTTTTCTTCGTATTATTATACTTGACTGGTATGTGTTGATAGTTTGACAGGCATGCATAAATAATATTTAACCCGGCAATTAGGTTCTTAGTTTCCAAATTTTTCAGTGTGTGGTTTTATTCGTGTTAATATATTTGACTGGTCTGTGTTGATTCAATTTGGTAGACTTGTGTAAAGAATATTTAACTTGGTGATTAGGTTCTTCGTTCCCGACTTTTTCAGCTTTTGATGTAATGTGCCTTTATTTGTTTCTCTTTTTATTGGCATCTCTTGTGTCTGTACTTTTCAATTAGTCTCTCTCTTAAACAACATTCATTGGTATCGTCTTCCCTTTTTAACTTTGCTTTCTTTTTTCTTTTTGTTTTCTTTCCCCTTTGCATCTTTTTTGAATTGTCTTATTCAATTGATATGAGGCCCAGCTTACCAATTTAATTAACAGGAACATGTTCTATGCTTAGAAATTAAATATTGAGTCTGAGATCCAAATAATCACTAATCCTTCTTTACGTGACTATTAGTTTCTTGCTTATCATAAATAGATTTTTGCAAGTTACAATTTGTCACAAATGCCACTATGAAGTTTGATAAGAATTTACTGAATCAGCTATGATATGATTATGATATCTAAGTCACTTGCACTCAGCAAGATGATGTCTTTAATCATCTTTTTTCATCATTCCAGTGCAGGCTGCAGTCATAGGAAGAATTAGTGACAGAAATTCAAGATGGCTTTGATTATGTAGACATGGAAGCTTTGATGGAGCTGCTTTATATGGTGATCCATCCAGGTTTATGGAGCTATTCACTTTAGTCATTCTGTGTAGCAACTTGAAAGCATTTCCAGGGTCTATGGGCATATTCTAAATGATGATAGGTAATATCGTATAGTAGTAAGCAGTGCCTAGTTGCCTTACACGTGGCACAGACATCTAGACATGGCAGATAAATTGTATCCATTTTGTAGTAGGAATATGCTTACATTTTATAATTGTGTAAACAAATTTGCCAGTACGTATAATCGATACCAGTAGGGATGTATTTACTTCTCATTTGCTTTTGAAATTGTGCTCTTTTGGCTCCAAGTAGCTATTTGGAGTTGCCATTCGTTAGCATGCTTATTGGTTAGATTGTTTACTTGAGCTATTTCCTAGGCTCTAATAAACAGAAAAGTTCTCAGCTAAAGTCCTTTAATAAGGTCTCAGTCAATTTTTTGTTTTTGTTTTTTTAATTTCCTGTTTGACTAATCTATTATAATGGAATTTAAGTACAGATCCATAGTTTCTCTCTAAAGAAATGCAAAAGTGGCCCATCGTTGTTATGCAACATTGTACAAAGATTTATAGTTTCAAATAATCTCAAATTGTATTCTTGTTACTTAGTTCTTTTACTAATTTTATGTATGGATTTGGTACAATCATTGTTTTATTGTGTAGACGGTACTATGACCCAAAACAAAAAATCCAAGACAGTACAATATGACTTACCAAACGAGGCATGAGTATAAAAGAGAGAAAGGTGCAGAGAAAGTAAGAAATTCCATCATGACCTTTCAATGATTGTCTGTTTTTATAGCGCATTGGAAAGGAAAAGCTAGACCAAATTTGGCAATTTGGGAAATACACGGTGTCTGCTCACAAATTTCTAGTTATTCTAGAAGAAAAGAGAGCGCTGTGAAATAACATCGGTCTTGTCACGCCCCGTTGTGAAATAACATTAGTCTAGACTCTTCAAAATATTTATATAAATAAAAAATAAAAAAATAATCATACATTCACAACGCTCCATTCAAAATATTTATAAAATAAAATTGGTCTAGAATATTTGTGGTCTTGTTTAATGACATTGGTAAAAAAAAACAAAAAGGCGCATGATCGAAAAGTCCTCAAAATACTCATACATCCTAAGCCAGTCTAAACTAATCCAAAATGACAACAATAGCTTGAAGAAACAAAGGAAAAGATGTATGGCCTTCCAAATACTCATACATCAAGGAAATTGTAGCACTAGTGGCTCAACCACTTATCTTCCTTTGTTTGGGCATAATTTCTGCGCGCCAGCCCATCTGGCTATTGGGCTGTTTTTGACAAAACGGACTTGGGCTCTATTTACCAAAATTGGAGAGCAGCCTAGGTCATTTCAAGAAGGGAGGAGTTAAAATGAAACCAATTGCCCAAATTAATTTTCACGGGATAGATGTTAATTACCATCAATGGTGATTTAATCTAAAAGCTCAGATTTAATTGGTTTAATCTCTACCCAGTTTCCAGATTATATTTTTTAAGGCTTGAGGTTTAATTATCACCGTTGGTTACCGATTCAAAGCCAGATCAACGACTCTAGAGCTAGAAGGGTTGAGTTTCTTTTCGCAATACCCACGTGATTCCAACGACAACAAGTCAACAGGAAACAGACAGAGGACATTCAGGGGAGTTGGTAGAAAGGTGAAAGCAGAAACCACTCCCCATAACCATTAAATTCTAGGAAAACAGGCTGAGTTTCCTTCCATACCCATGAAGATTTCGTCAATGAGACATTCAATTCCAGTTTGCAAGGAATGGACAAGAAACAAGGGAGTTGGTTGTCAAAAAGTCAAAACTGATCATCATAGCTGACTCTTGATGTGGATGTTCCTATTAGAACAACTACTACTCCTTTATTTACTGGAGCAAACACTTCTCAGCAAAGATCCTTTAGATATTAAGGAATCATCATCATATAGATTTCCTATAAACATAAGAGGATGTGAGCTGGAGAGAGGGCAACAAAAAATCAAAATCAAAACAAAAACTCTTAGTCATACTGATAAAAAATCAAGCAAGATCACACGATCTTAAACGTCTTCAAACTTAGAAGCAATCAGGCTATCTAGCTTGCAAAAACCATCCAACTTCCAACAATACAGGCAGAACTCGAATCTCTAACTTCAATCCAACTTGGAGGAGTAGTTCACAGGGAAAACGAATTCCTCTCGTTACAAATCTGGTTCAGAATAGGTGATCCAAGTAGAACTCAGGTTGTTCATAATATGAAAACCTCAACAAATTTTCAGAGACATCTTGAGGTCTTAAAATCCCCAGAATAGCCCACAGGTGATCCTCAGTCAAGCAGAACAGATACTGAAGTGCAATTTTAGGCCAGCAACTGCCAATCCAGCCGCTTTCAATCCAGTCCGGATCGGAGAAATCCTAGTTTTGCCCACTCGACAAGCCTCTTCATGGCTCAAATTAATTATAGCTTTGCCAATCTCGACATTGGCATCGATTTCCAGCTGATCTCTATTAGTTGAAGGTGCTAACGTGCAAATTCCAGTACAGATACATCCAGTCCAGCCTAAGTCACACACAACAACCCAAGCAAAAATCGAAGTCCAATTTTCTAATGTCTTTCTAAACTTGGCAGTCTCTTTTTGTTTAATGTATGATAAGCAGTTCTCTTTGAACTAGTTTGTTTTATTTTCAAACACTTATTTTTGGCTAGACTTACTAGTTTTTACTGTGGGAAATTATAAAGTCCTCATCCGTCTGAGGCAAGAAAAGCACTTTCTTGGGATATATTTCTCACCCAGATTCACAATCACTTGACCAAAGTCAATAGCTTGGGGCACAAGTTATTACATTCTACAGTCTGTTAGGATTTTTTAATCGTTAACAGTGGCATGCTTCACATAAAAGAAATTTGACTTGTTGACCACCAATGGTTTTCATGTCAATGGGGAACCTTATTTCTTTTCCTTTTTTAGCGCATTTCCACCATGGCCTTTTGTCATGACCTCTGGGCTGAAAAAACCTCTCCACCAATGCATTCTAGCCCAAGCAAGACGTGGGCTCCACCAAGACTGGGCAGACCCAAAGGCAAGATCAGCCCAAATTGCTACACGACTTGAAACCCACACGATTCAATTTTCGGGCTTTTTTGGATCAACTCGCCATGAGCCGTTTAATAAACAGGTATGTTTCGGATCAACCTACTAACCCACTAAAATACCTATATAACCCATTTATTAAATGGGTCGTGTCAACCCGTGTAATACCAACCAACCCGCCAACCCGTTTCTTTGTTTCTTTTTCTTTTTCTACATTTTGCTCATTTTTTAAAATTTATTTTATTTATCTTTCTCAGTATTCATACATACAAAGAGACAAAATGTAATCACCATTTTTATATATAAATAAATAAATAAATTGCTAAATGCAATTATTTGTTTAAATGATCAAAATTCATGTTTTTAATTCGTTTTCTATGACCTTGTGAATTTGATATGTGGGTTTTGTTGATTTTATGTATTTTTTTTGTATTTGTTTACTTATTCCCCAATACTCAAGAATGCAAGTGATTCTTGTATGTCCCATGCAAGTTATTCTTTATTATTATTATTATTATTATTATTGTTTTTTAATTTTTACCCATTACATTTTTAGCTAATTACTAGATGCTACCACATTTTGACTAGGGTTACTTTATGCAAGTGATATGACTTGAACCCGACATGTTTATTATCCTAGCTAAATAAGTCGGGTTTGGATTGAGCATTCTTGACACGTTTATTATCCTTACTTTGAGGAGACTTTTTGATCATTTGCCCTAAAAACGAAAAATAAATATTACTGTTTTGTTCTTTAATAAATTTTAGAACGTTGTTGTTTTGTATTCTTGAATAAGTTCCTATGATTTACCACGTGTGCGGTTCTTCTTACATCAAACACTTTAAACAGTCTGAAAACTTCTCCAAGACTCAGAAGGAGTCGCTCCTCTTTCATAACCTGAGTTCTCTTTCTCGCTGATTCTATCTTTCTACCACCTCACTGAAAGTCCTCTTGAATTCCAGTAAGTCCAATCCAATCCCTTTTTCCATTCTTCTGTTACACTGAAAGCTATAACCTTTCTTGCTTTTTCTTTTTGGGCTTTCGCCATTGATTTATTGACCTTATTTTTTCTTGCTTATTGAAATTCCTATTGTTTTTTTGTTTTTTTGTGTATCTCTGATATTACAACTTTATTTTAACGGGTTGTAAGGATTCTTTGGTGGCAATACTTTCTGGTCCACCTGTTTTATTATTAATTTTGTCTATCAATATAATTGATGATAGTAAATTTTGAAATGCTGCGTTCGTTTCTAACTGCTAAGGAAATTGAGGAATAAGAGAGTAATTGGAAAGGAAATCAAGAAGGCGGAAAAAGATTGAGAATGGCTGTGTTTAGTTACATTTTCATAAGGATCAGAAAAGACAAATCAAATATGCAATTGGGTTTTTTACTTATTTATTTTGAAGTTTCTCAAAAATAAGAAACAGACGAAGCTCTTGAATGTTTTGGTTGTTTTTATTTTCGAAGTTTGGCATACGCTTGAGAACTGCTTGAGATATACCTAAACTTTGCAAGAATTTTTCTTTCTTTCTTTGTTTTTTGTGTGCCGAATGAAACATTTACATCACGTTAACTGCATCTTGTACATTTGTTCTACCATGTCTGATTGAGGTTTCGTACACTTTAGAACATGGTAACTTATGTGATCCAAATTTCATTCCTTTTCTCTTCCCATAAGTATTTTTCATCAAGGCTATTCTGAGTTGACTGCATATCTTTGCACTTGCCTATCTTTGATGATTCACATTAATTTCTATATCAGGGCTTGACCATTTGTAAAGGCCTTCTGTGTTAATCTTACATTACCACATTCCAAACATGCAATGATAATTTCTATATATATATGTCTGCTCGATAACATGGTTGACAGGTGCGTTAGTGTATCTTATAACTTGATATATGTTGTCCTATAGTGGAGGTGCAAATGGATGATCAGAATGGGACAACATACACTTCTGAAGGAGGGGAAACAAATATTATTGAAGTTAGCACAAATCAAGAACCATATGAGGGTATGCTATTTGAATCAGAAGATGCTGCCAGAGTATTCTATGATGATTATGCCAGTCGCTTAGGATTTTTGACCCGTGTTCTGTCATCCCGGAAGTCTGAGCGTGATGGGTCAATAATCTCTCGTGGACTTGGATGTAGAGGGGTCTCTGATAATGGTAGAAAAGTAATGCAGAAGGAGTGTGGACAACGAGAATTTTGCACAGCCATGGTGTTGTTGAGGCAAGAGAAGCCTGGAAGTTGGGTTGTGAAGAAGTTTTTGAAGGACCATAATCATCCGTTAGTGGTTCAATCACAAAAGAGTCGCCGAACACTTGTAAGCCTCTCTTATGTTGCATATGTTCTCATGTAGTTGGATGCATCTAGTTACTGATAATCTAGTGTTCTCATATGCTTTTAAGACCACTGCCATTAATATTATACTATGAGAAATAGAATGATCCAAATTCTTTAAAAATGACTGAAATTTTTCTTTATATTTTTCTTTTCCCAACATAAACGGACTTAGTCACCTGCATCACAAGACAATCGAGGAAAATTTAAACTTAATTGACTATGATTAAGTAACTTATATAAATAAACCGAAGTTAACTTAATAGATCTTAATTGAACCTATAACATTTAAAACTAAAAAGCCAAAAATCAAAAAAAGAGAAAAATTCAGATTGGACCTAGGCTGGGTCATGATCAAGACCCATGGCCTATACGTTGCCCATTAGTTGGACGGCTGGCAAGGATGGTAATCACAAGGGTGATTTTGGATAAGAATTTTCCTTTTAAGTTCGGACTTTGGTTTTAGAAGAAACCTAAGGATGAGGAAGCTAGTGGACACGTTACAAGTACTGGAAGGGTTGAGATTAAATAGCAGTGGAGAGGATGATAGAATATGGCTGTTGGATACATCTGGGAACTTTTAAATTTTTAACCAATTTATATTTTAGGAACTGCTGCAATGTTGTAGGGAGGTCTGTTTTTAATCCTTATTTATATATTTGGAAAGCAGTAGTGCCTCCAAAGTTGCAGACTTTGGCATGTTTTGTAGTTTATGTTTGATATTCAATGTGAGTACATAAATAATGCTTGCAACTTATATTCAATGAAATGAAGGACAAAATCCAAGTCACAGTTGAAAGCTACCATATTTCTTTCTTTCTCCCTATGAAACTATCTCCCTACTCAATGATGCCAGCCGAACTAGACTATTGGATTAATCAGTTTTTTTTATAGCTTTTTTACTATTATTTGACTCCTTACATTTCCAAATTAACATTGAGTGATCTAAGTATCTTCTGATGACATCTTGACTACATCGGAAGCATCCAAGTTGTGTTTTACTTCATGAGCTTAGCTTGGTAATTCAACACCTTAATATATTCTTTCTAAATCCATGTATTTTTCCCTTTTTGAACATTGCTTACTGTATTCCCAAGTTTTGGCATCTGTTTATGGCCTTTATACTCTCATTTACCGCACTGTTCTCTTGCTGCTCTTTCAAACTATTCAACTCATGAGCTTCTTCATATTTATAGTTTCTTTCCTTTTAGAAGGTCCAAGCCTTATGCTTGGTGAAAGTTTGTACTTTGAATTGTCCAACTTATTGTTCTCTTGCATTTGGGATTTTCTAAATCTGTTGGGTCTTCTTTTCTTTCTTGGTTTTGTTTTCTTTTACGCTGTATGCACTTTTTTCCCCCTTCCACAGAGATCATTTATCATCGTTTTTGCATCTATATTACCAGGATGAGAAGGATAAGAAAATTCAGGAGTTAACCGCACAACTGCGGGTGAAGAAGCGGTTAAGTGCAGCATATAGAGAACAGCTACTTGCCTTTATGAAGGATGTTGAAGACCATAACAATCACCTATCAATAAAACTTCAATCAGTCTTTGACAATCTAAAAGTGCTTGAAGCTAAAACAGTAGGTTTTACATGATAGATACTTTTCAGAAGTTGTGTGAGTATAGTAAGTCATTCAGTTGCTTTCAGTTCTAGTTATGCCTTCAATTTTGTTTCTCGAATCGGAAAATCTGGATTGAGAAAAGTAGGAAAATTAGGGTGCAATTCTGAATGCTGTCCTGCGTTTTACAAAGCATTGAAAGTAAAGATATAAAATTGTGATGGGGACATGACAAATTAGGGGTTGTGAGGAGAGCTGATGATTGAGCCATGAGTATGACAAGGGAGGCTCGTATTATGAACTTCTTTAAATACCAGGATCAAAGAATTAAATTTTATGTTTTTCCTAATTAATTAGGAGAAAATGAGGAGTTTTGTTGAAATTGGTTGAACAATCTATTGACTTGAAAAGCCGCATGGTTTATTGTAGAAAGTAAACTGGAGCTCGATTTTCTACGATTTGAATGGCATGACTTAAATCATGGCATGTCAATTTTATGAGTAGATTGGCTTTTTGTTCAATCTAGAGTTTGATTATACTATTTAGTCTGGACTGGTAAAGGTTCTTTTGAATAAATATACTATGGAAAACTCGTCTACACACACCAACTTTTATCCCAACTCACTCGGCCCGATATGGGTCCTACTAGTATGAATCTGAGGTTTTAGTTCTGATTCATTTCATTAAGCTTCCTTCCAATTAATCGACGAGGACAAAGTGAAGGAAAACTTCTGAAATTATTTCAGTATTGAACCTTAATTAGACATCCAACCTTTAATCGCAATGACTCAATTAAACTGCATATCATGATATGTGATAAAAGTTAGAGAGTCTCATAATTTGATGAGTTCCGCGTCATGTGAGAGAGTGGGAAAAAGTTGGTGTCTAGAGTACACAATTGCTATCCAATACCAAGCTGTGCAAATATTTCATCGTCATCTTTTGCCTTAAATTCTCCAATTTTATAGTTCTCAATTCTAGAAGCTAGGTCAAGGTATACTTGAGCATAACATAAAGTTGGATAAGTAGGCCCCCTCAAGCTTAATTAGTTAAAGAAAATGACAAAAAGAAAAATAAAAATAAATGGAAAGCTATATTCCAATAAAAATATAAAATAATAGCAACTAGCTAGCAGATAAGTGAAATATTATTTTTTTGAAAAGTGAAATATTATTAAAATGCTAAACTGGGGTCGGATAACAAATTTGAGTTGGGGCTTTTTTTTCCTTTGGTTTCCAGACATAGCAAGCATTTCACTATAACAGAGTATTCAAAAAAAGTATGATCTGTAGTTTAGAAAGATAATAGTACAACCGTAATAGTGTTTTCATAGTTTGGACTAGATGTTTGCTTAAATAAACATAAAAAGAAAGAAGATAAGAAAGCTTATTTAAAGAGTACTAGTGTTGCTTGGAGCTTGAAACGTAGAAGGAAATTGAAACATAAGAGATGGAATTTGTTGAAAGCGAAGACTGTTTTCTTGAAAACTAGAGAGCACCAAAGAGTTTTTCTTCTCAGACGTGCCTCTAGCTAGAGGATACGCCTACATGCGATGCAAACAAATGAAAAGGGCGCCACTACTAACTTATGAATTGACAAACTTCATGGCTAATGCCCTAGCTAAATTGGAGCATAGCCTCTCTCCTTCCCGTTTATGGGAGAATGGCTTACCCTTTCTGTTGTAAATACATTTTATTTTTACCTCTTTAGCACGTCGTGTCTAAGAGCAACTCCACCGTTGCGCCAGGACTGGGCCAAGGGGAGGCCCAAGAAGAATAATGGCGTTCTAGCGGGCCACTTTTGCCCTGGCTGGCCCTCTGGCAAAACCAGCCCTTGCTCTAGCCTGGGTTTGTTGACGTCAGCAACCAAAAAAATAAAAATCTAAATGAAATTTAAAAATATTCTAAAAATTTCAGAATTTTTAAAAATTAAATACTTAGTCATATTTTTCACTTCCCACACCAAAACTCTATACAAATTCATTTCCTCATATCTCATGTGAATAGTGGTTGCCATGACAATGAATGGAAACATCACAAACCTTTTGCAAGGATTGCCACTATTCATGTGAATAGTAATAGCCCTTGCCTCCCCTTGCCCTTTGTCATGGCAAATGGGTGGAAGTGCTCTAAGTGCTTTTTCGTTGTAAGTGTTCTTTTCTTATAAAAAACAAGAAGGACCTATGTGTCCTAATTCCTAATTTCATTTTTTGTCTCTTTGAAAATGTTAAGAACATGATTACAGCCCCTTTCTTCTTGAGGATGTTTCCATCATTTGCCCGTTTTGGAATTTGAGATTTGAGAATTTTTTTTTGGTGGGACTATTAGGTCAAAGATCATTGACTTCGAATCAATTTTGTTTTTTAGTCTTATTTTTTGCAACAGAAAATTGTATTCTTTTCAAGAGTGCTTACACAGACAAAACGCGACAAAACGCTTTTTAAATTGACCCAAAAAACGGTTTTTACAGGGGAAGACCGAACCGTAGCTCCCAAGTTCCATTGATAGCAAAACCTCCTTTGCTGATCAGTTCACCAAAATCTCAGCCTGTAGAACCCAAAAGAACGCTAAAATCATTTTGGGTTTTCAATTTCTAGTACTTGCCAGGTATCCTACTCTCTGTCTGTCTGTCTGTCTGTCTGTCTTTATCTTCTCTGTGTATATTTATTGTTGTCGTTCTTGTGTTTATGAACAGTTAAGACCAATTTGGAAAATTTGTAGAGGGGTTCATTTTAGGCTGCTAAGAATCTTGCACAGTTTAGCAATGTCTTAGATTCTTAACAAATTTTGTTGCTTACAGATTCATATTATATTATATAGGTTGAACCTTGAAGTTTGAATTATGTTATGTGGATTTCTTTATTGATCTAATGAGTCAATGAGAATTGTGAATTTACTACTTCCCTTTGAAAAATTTGATTCCTAGTTGAGTGGGCTAGTCTTGGTGGTAGCTGTCAATGACTTAGGTAACTGATTCAGGCAGGCAGCTTCACATTCTGCGTTGTACACATGGGGATAGCAGTACATACAGATTGTCTAGGCAAAGACAAGATTTTACTCTTCCATGAGGCAAGCAAGCCTCTGCTGGATCTTCTGATGCAGCTCTTTGCATCTACCCTTTTTCATTCTAGAGTGGATGAGGGGAACCCAGTAGCTAAAAATGATTTTTCCCCAATTACTCTAGCCACCCTTCTGTCAAGATTCGAGGATCTGTGGATATGGATTCAAGTGTTATTATTTATTATTTATTTTTATACTGAGGTATTGTATCTGAGAGGGCAACTCCCAAGTGATGTGCCTATGAATTGCTTTATAGATTGGTTCTCATTTATGTTTGAACAGAGTGTATGTGTGAGCCATATAGAGCGAAAAGATTGCAAAACCAGTGAACTTTACAGTTGGTGATGAGTTCTTTAACAAAATTGCATTGTAGCCTTCTCATTTTATCATGGGTGGACGCTTTTGGTGTTATGTAGCCGTCGAGTTCAATATCATGGGCACAGTCAAAGACAAATTCCAGACTCTCTATGTGATGGGTTTCAAAAAGTCCTTGTCTTGCCTAATCATAAGCTTAGGTCTCATTGCTGACAATCCGCACTATTACTTGCGTATTTTGACTTTAATTTCTGGAATAAATTGGATACTTCCGGTACGATAGAATTTTAGTTGCTACCATTGCTTGTCCCTTGAGCTTTGATCCTATGCTCTTATTTATACTATATCTCATTTTTGCAGGTTAATGATGGCAAGCACCTCAGGACAAGGATTTAGCCCTGAGAGAAACTACAGGTGTTGGCTAGATGAAACTTTTTCCAGTCATGAAACAGCTGATGACGAGCTATCATATACTCCTGATGTAGATAATAATTTGATTGAAACATCTAGCCAAGATTTTTCTTTAACTTTGGAACCAGTTATTGGGATGGAATTTGAATCAGCAGAAGACGCTAGAGATTTTTATGAGATGTATGGTAGGCATATGGGATTTACAATACGGAACAATCGTACACGTCGTTCACTAAAAGATAATGCAATAATTGGCCGGGAGTTTGTTTGCTCAAAAGAAGGTTTCCGAGCAGAAAAATATGCAATGAGTCAAAACAGAGTTCATCCATCACGGCCAGCCACCAGAAAGGGATGCAATGCAATGTTGAGGATAACGGCAAAGGATGGAGGCAAGTGGGTTATATATGGTTTTGTAAAAGAACATAATCATGAGTTGAATCCTAACAAAATACCACCTCGACGATCACATAGGATTGCATTCTGCGAGGTATGTTGGTCTTCGTTTTGGTATGTAAATGTGCTTATAATAGAATTTTAATCTTATTTTGCAAGATTCTTTTGAGGAGTTAGCATGAGACTGGAGTTATATGAATTGGAACTAAGAACTAGGTTTGAATAATTAATCCTTGAATTGGTTTAAAAAAACAAAATGAGCATCCAGTTTGGCTGTATGAACTTATATTATTCTGATATGTAAGAGAGGATGAGCAGAATGTGACTTGTAATTGGGGATTTATTTTCTTATTGGTCTGACAATTTAAAAATAAATAAATTAAATTCATAGCGACGAGAGTACTACACTTCAACCGTGTTCTATTTTTATTTAAGAAAATGAAAAATCTGAAGAATTGAAAATTTCCATCTCTGATGTAAACTGGTACCTGGTCATACATATGCTCTTCCATAGTATGCAAGTCCTTTTGGCCAATGCAATTCTGGTTGGGCATTCAGAACTATTCCCCTTCTTTTTGGCTCAAGAGGTTTGGTGGCTATGATTCTGAGGTCAAATCAAGTAGACATTTGCTAGATAGGTCTTAGTACCAATAAATTTATGAGCTAATGACTCAATAATCATATTTTTGTGCAGCTGCTTGTTGAAATCATGTGTCATCCTGCCTAATAAGTGTATATTTACAAGTTCCTATATGAGCTTAAATTACAACAGTGTCTGATATTAGTTCTCTGTTTTCAGGATGAGAAGGACTTGAAAATCCGGGAACTGTCAACGGAGCTACATCGAGAGAAAAAGAAGTCTGCAGCTTATCAAGAGAAGCTACAGATTGTATTGAAATATATCGAGGAACATACTCAGAGGTTATCATTGAAAGTTGAACTGGCAACTAACAATATGAGAGAACTTGAATCTGAAGAGCAAGACAGTTCATACTCAGACTAGAGTATGTCATTTGATCTTCTTTCTGTTTGTGTTAAATGTTGCCCATGATTTATTATTAGTTCTTTGACCAAACTTAAGTAAGAAAAAGGAGT